CACACACGATTCTGGTACTACACACAGCGAGCGTGGTATGGCTCCTGCCTTTAACCCAATCCCAGAAGTAGTACAGACCAAGGAAGGTAAGTCAACAAATCCTTTAGGCAGTAAGAAAGACCTGCAAGGTTAGTGAGTAGACTGAGGAAAAACTCTTGTGAATGGGAGCCCAGCAGGACTCTGGCAAAGGAAAAACCGGCTGCTAAAGCCTGCTGTCATTCAAAAGAACTGTGCTGGGGCGCCTGGGTGGCGCAGTGGGTTAAAGCCTCTTGTCTTCAGCTCAGGTCATGATCTCAGGGTACTGGGATCGAGCCCAGCATGGGGCTCTCTGCTCATCAGGGAGCCTGCTTCCCCCTCTCTCTCTGCCTGCCTCTCTGCCTACTTGTTATCTCTGTCAAATAAATAAATAAAATCTTCAAAAAAAAAAAAACAAAAAAAAAAAAAAAAAACAAAAGAACTGTGCTTAGATGGCTGAGGGAGTCAAAGTCTAAGGGAGCTGGCATACCCACATGGCTGGGCATGCCTAGTACAGGACAGGTTACAGCATCTCAGAAGAGAAAGAGAGATACTCTAAATGAGGGCTATACTCAGCCTCACTGAGCTCATTCACTCCCCATGATAGACTACAGAGAAGACTGAAAGAAGAACTCAATACTCAGACTGTAGCTTGGGGGTTTAGGGCTGGTCATAAATAAGGTAGGAAAGGTAAGAGGATTCACTCCACTATATCAGAAAGAAGCTGTAAACAGAGCTATACATATTAAGATGAAAAGAAATGCTGTGGCTACAATAGAAACATAAATAGCATGCCTCACCCCTGCCAAAAAAAGCATATAAAAGGTAAATGAACTCAGTATGGATGAAAGTAGAACACAAGGACAAAGGCAGATTCTCCACAAGTATCTACATATAGTCATAGAAAAAAGTCTTAAGGATGATCCTGATAAAACAAGAAAAGCTTGATGAGATACACACAGACTGAGATGAAAACAGATTGTTGAGATAAACAAAATAACAAAATACCACTAACAGATTTAATTTAAAATAGCAAGAAATTTCAAGAATTGCAAAATTTAGATAACCTATCATTTCTTCCACTTCAGACACACTACATTTGTACAGGCGGGACAGCATGATGATTTTGAGCTTGGCCTCTAAATCCAGATTGCCTGGATTGACATCTCAGTCCTGCCCTTTATTAACAGTGTGACCTGGGACAATTTACGTAACCTAAAGCATAAAGGGTACGATAAAGATTAAATGAGCTGATTCACATGAAGTACTCAGAATAGGACCTGGCCCAGAGTAAAGAGTTCAATATTAACTGTCATTATCACAAACAACTTAATCCATTAACATCAGCTGGATGCAAAAAAGCACCAAGGAATTCATCTTCAGGCGTGTAGGTGCTGTCAAAACCATTTAAGTATGTCAGATGAGCATGTTAAAGCTATGCTCTATAATTCAAGAAAATTAAAGATAGTAAAATCTGCCCATTCATATAGAAATATTCTTTAGAGCTACCCCCTCTTTTAAGGCTGAAATAAAGACCAAAATTGGTTAATATACTAGAACAACAGTTCTCAAAGTTTGGTCTTTGAATAAGTAGCATCAGCATCACCTGGTAACTTGTTAGAAATGCAAACTCTCTGCAAACTCTCTTCAGTGGGTTCCACACCAGACCTACTGAATCAGAAATTCTGAGGATAGGACCCAACAATGTGTTTTAAGATGAGCTCCAGGTGAGTCTAATGTATGCTGAAGTTTGAAGATCACTGTACTTAATGGTCCTATGTTATGTACCTCAAATTTAAGAAACACACAGAGATAAATGATTACAAGTAACTGTAGGCTAGAAGACTATTCTGTTAAGTGAAGCTGGTATAACTATATAACCAACATTTTCAAAATATGCATAAATTATATATACAAGCAACCCCAAGCTTATAAATGAGTTGTTAAAGTCATTTAATTATATTATTTGGAACTAAGGTCAAATTCCTCCATTAGAAATAATCTTATATACCCTAGTTAAATTCCTTGCTAAGGAACAAAAGCCTTGTAAACCTATAAACACAAGACAAATGATCTGTTACAGTGAAATATTTTCATGGGTAAAAAATGAACCAAAATTCTAACTCCAATCGTTGGAAAGATTCACTTTTCCTACCACAACCTTAGCAATGAGAGAAGACAGATTTCTTCCCACACTGTGATCAAAATAAACATTTTCCTCTTCCTTTCTGCCCTTCTACCTCTGTAAAAATAGAGACTGGAGTTAGGGGCAGGCACCAGGTACAACTGTGATAGAACAGAGATACAGGAAAGCTGCGATGGAGATGGCAGAGGGGAGGGGTGACCACTTTAGCACCTGCGCATCTTGGTAACAATACTGCCTATGTTTGTGCATATGTTCATGCATATGTCTATGTATAGGACTTCCACAAGCTGGATGTTTGGTCTCCTGCTTACAGGTTTATAACACTTGCAGCCAAAGAAAGAATTTCAGAACAAGATATGAACATTAAGATGTTCAGTTAAAAAGAATAGCATTAGTGGGTGAAGGTAAGATGAGAAAGAGGCTATTTACATTGTCAAAAAAGTACCTTCCCACAAGGTATATATTAGCAAATAAGGAAAAAAAATAATTGTACCCTAGAGAAACCTGGTAGTGCATTACCTTAACCAAGTGATCAATGTTAACATCACCAGTAATGGGATAGATTGACTTCATATGCTTCCCAATATGAGGCACTGGAAAAGACAACCCTTTTGTTCTTTGAACAGGCACTAGTAACATGACTCATCCCTTTCAGACTATAAGAATTAAAATAATGAAATATCATTATACTTCCTTTATATATATATTATATAATAAATGATTTGTATAGTAATAAACTACTCAGATTTAATAATACAGTATCAATGTTAATTTATTGATTTTTATAATTATAGTGATTTTTTAAAAGATTTTATTTATTTGAGAGAGTGAAAGAGAGAGCATGGGCAGAGGGGAAAAGCTGAGGGAGAAGCAGACTCCCTGCTGAGCCCGATGTGGGACACAATCCCAGGACTCTGGGAACATGATCTGGGCCAACGGCAGATGCTTAACTGACTGAGCCACCCAGGCACCCAGCAGATTTCTTTAGAGTACCTTTACACAATGTAAATTTGTGAGTATTTTTTAAAAAAACAGGTAAGTATCAAAAATCAAATCAAATATTTCAGGTGTCAAGGGATTAGTATACAACAGCTGATAAATTTTCTGTACAGTTACTGTTGTCAAAAATTGAAATTAGATGCAATCGCCAAACACTGGAGAAAACTGTACTTAAAACAATTTGCAGATTCTTTTGGTAGCCTTGTTTTATAATGGACAATGATGTACTCTTCTCTGTTTCAAGACCTTGGGTTAGGTAAAGATCTCTTAGAACACAAAGAGGAAACCATAAAAGTACTGCTAAATTGGAATTAATCAAAATTTAAAATTTTGCTTTTCAAGAGACAATTAACATAATAAAAAGGCAAATCAGAGAAATAATAACAAAAGACAACCCAATTAAAATGGGTAGAGATTTGAATAGACATTTTGATAGATGATGATTACAAATGGCAAATAAGAACATGAAAGATGCTAAACATCACCGATCATCAGGGAAACATAAATTAAAAGCACAAGAGGTACCACTACACACCCACTAGAATGACTAAAATTTAAGAGTGACAACAAGTGCTGATGTGGATGTGGAACAACTGGAAGTCATATACAGGGATGCAAAATGGTACACACATGTTGAAACAGTTTGGCAAAAAGTTAAACATACACTTACCCATATGGCCCAGCAATCCCATTCCTGGGGAAACAAAAACATATGCCCCCCCCAAAAAAAGACTTGTACAGGAATATTCATCGCAGCTTTATTTATAATAGCCCCCAACTAGAAACAACCCCAATGCCCATCAACTGGAGAATGCATAAACTCTGGTATGTCTATCTAATATTGCTCAGCAATAAAGGAACTACTATCATGTGCCAACAACTTGGATGATTCTCAAAAGCATTACATGAAAGAAACCAGAGAAAAAAAGAGTACATTCTATAAAATTCCATTTATATGAAGTTCTAGAAAAAGCAAGACTATAGTGACAAAAAGCCTATCAGTGGTTGCCAGGAACCAGCAACGAAGGGACAGAATTAAAGGCAAAGGGGCAAGAGGGAACTTTCTGGGGTGATGAAAATATTCTCTATCATGGTTGTGGTGGTGGACACACAACTTTGTCAAAACTCATCAAATTGTACACTTCAAATTGGTGAAGTTTACTGTATCTAAACTGCAACTCAAAGCCGATTTTAAAATTTAGTAATAGCCTAAATGGCTACCGTTAGGGTATTAACTAGAAGGGAGTACAAGGGGAACTCTGCGGTAGTGTTCTAATTTCTTTTATCAGGGTGGGGGATACACGGGGGTTTAGTTTGGAAAAAGTCACTGAAGTGTACAATTATGATTTGTGTTACTGTCTGTACATTTCATTTCAATAAAAAGTTTACTAGAAAAGAATGTATCCTCAACAGTCTGACTTCATACAAATAATCACAATGATTCAAAATTATAGCCAAGAAAATAACAAGAGAAGTAAGGGGGAAAGAAAGGTAAGTTGACCACTAAAATTATAAAGGGATTCAAAAAGCAATCACTTGTCCAAAGTACATTTTCTTTTGCGGGGGACTTGACTAATATTCTACCTAAATTTAAGAGAGTGTGTGTGTTTGCACACACACACACACGTTTGCACACGCATATATGTGGTTAGGACATAGTGGACTTTCCCCAAACCTTATTCAATGTAACCTTTTCTTAAATTAAGTTCACTTTTCAATTCTTTTTTTTTTCTGTAGTTCACTTTTCATTTCTAGAGATATGCATAAGACAAATATACACAGGACATTTTCATTCTAAAATTTAGTTTTCTGCTTAGAAGGAAAAAAAAATCTTACTAACCTCTTTCATAAATGATTTGCCTATGCGCACCACTTTTGCAAATAAAATGGGATCATGTGAAAGGTGAGGACCAAGGTAACAGAACATATTAAAGACATCTCTCCTCAAATCTTCAAAGCTCTCTGCTTGTTTTGGTGCCCTCTTATTTTGCAAAGCATTAACAGGTGAACCTTTAGCACCTTTAGGAACGCCAACTCTATAAAAAGAAGCAAAGTTTATACGTATACTATACAATACCCCATTTTAAATTAACACAGTCATATTAATCAGTAAGTAAAGCTTTTCTTGTTCAAATCTGATTTCTGTATTTCATTTGTGCCTAACTTTATTAATACCAGATAATTTAGCTGGTTGAAAAAGACAAAAACAATACTCATTTGGAAAACAAATCAGAGCTCAGAGAATGTTTCAAATTAACTGCATAAGGAAATCAGAGAAACACAAATTTCAAGTAACATTTAACATACATCATTATGAATTTGGTTTTAGTTAAACTTGGCCAGTATCAGGAATTTGGATATGGGAATGGGGAACAAGGGATGAACCTCAAAGACACTGGAAGATGAAACAGAAAAACATGGATATAACAACAGTGATTCAAGTCAATAAAACACTTCTCAATCTGGGTTCCACTACCTAGACTGAGCATGAGGTAGGTGGTGGTAGGGAAGGTGAGCAGCATAATGAAAGAGGGTGTCACACTAAAAAGGACAGCATGCCCAGAGTTCTCACCTGCTGAGCAGGTGTCCCGCTGTGGAGTCACAGGGGTCACTCTTTGAGAAGAAGCCTTCATGGTCCATAGCCCAGGTGGCACTAAAGGCAGCAGCCAGCAGCTATGCACGAGTCACAAGGCTGGGGCTTTTGAGGCAGGCTCTGATCTGTGGGGCTGAAGCCAGAGCTGCTGCCAATACTGCTCCTAAGTATCCTGCAAGTAGGCTGAGGGCTAGAGGACTGGTCGACACAGTAACTAGGGATGATGAGAAAGGCTGCACTAGCAATTTCCAGAACAGCAGCCTATATGCCAGAAGAGATAAGGCAAGCAGAGAGGCAATGTCCTCACTTAGAGCCACTCAACCCGGGACAGAGGAAATGTACGCTAAGTAAAAACCTGAGGAATTCTCTGCCCCCCCCACCAAGAGAGGAGGAAAAGTCAAAAAGAGAAGAATGGAGTTTTCACTCTCAATGGAGTAAACCCAACCTAGATGTCTAACCTATAGTTTTTGTACTACACTGCAGCACACCTTCTGCATCACCTGGTCTACACATTAGGAGACAAGTCACTGATTCATACGTATAAAACTGATACACTCTGTGAACAGTTCTTATCATCTAATAAAACATACTAAAATGTTTGCTTGGTTGGAGAAGACAAGATAAATATGCAGATTTTTTTTTGTAGTCCTAAGCTATTTCTACCTCAACGATTAGAAAAGCATACTGTAACATACCTTCGGTAGAGAGGCTCAATAGTTATGTGAATGAGCTTGCAAATAGCAAGGGCTATTAGCTTATGTGAAGCTGCATAGTATGGAGGCATCTGATCCATAATGTTCTGTGCATGCTGCCAATCACCAATCTTTAACAAGGCTTCCAACAAACCAAGTTTTTGGTTGTCAGGCGGCTAAAAATGAACAATTACAGCAAAGATACTCAGAATATAGACACCAATAAATCTTAGTATTTTTTCATTTTAAAAAAATTGAGCTCAACAACCACAATAATGTATGTTAACAGTTGCCACTCATGGGAAATGCGTATTTCCCTGAAAGTACAATCAAGTTTTTTAGCTACTGAAAAAAACAATAGGATATGCTCTTTCATTTAGCAGACACAGCAAGACAGTTTACAGACTTGGAATTAAATTAAGTTCTATTTAATGTTTTACTGTGCCATAGGGAACTAGAATTCATTCATCTCTGAGAATCCCCTTAGGACTTGAGAGACATTAACACACAAAGCACAAATATATTTTACTTAGGATACATTCTGAAATTAATTTAAGAAAAAAAAAATGGCAGCCTCTTTTGGGAAGGTGCCAATCAGATTAAAAACAAAACCACCTTAGCAAATCAGTATTCCAAAAACCAGATTTCACCACAATCAAAATTAATGTTATTTTCCCATAAGCTGATTAACTATTACAAGTTAAATTTCATAATTCTAAATCCAGAAGACAATGTTAATTTTACAAAAAGGAACCATATACCTTCTCTACTTTCTCCTCTTCTTTTTCCTTTTCTTTCTCTCGCTCATCAATTTTTTCAGAAGACAATACAACCATCGTAAGTTTTCTAACAATTTGCTTAGCTTCTACAATTTCTCGTTTGTGTTCATCCATAATGCAATTATCAGCTGGAAGAAGCTAAAAATGGTTCATTAAAGTTTCATAAAACAGCTAATACTAGTTGCACATATAAAAAGCAAACACTATCTACTCTGAATTGATGAAGTTTTAAATAAGGTCTAGCCTACTAATGACCACGATCAACCTTCAAAATAAGTTTCTCTCCATTATTTTCTTATAATCTAACAGGGTTAAGTACCTGAATTTTGTACACCTTTTAAAATCAGATAGCAGTTCAAAGTTCCACATCTTTCTGCTAGAGGGCCTACATTAATACAATACTACAACAGTGGTGCTTACCATGAATTTATTAGTTTACTCAAGAAAATATATGTAACTGTTTCATTAAAAGTCAAACTGCAAATTACATAAAGTACTGCATATGGATCCAATTTGGGAGATATGAGCTACTGAATTACATGAAGGGGTTAAATTTAATACCTCTAGATTAAAAATCTCAAGTAGAAAAATCATGAGCAACTTGACATCTCACTTTTCATTTTCTAATACCTCTCTGATGTCTTATGTCACAAACTAGTTTCTAGCTTATTATAAAAGAGAAAGTAGTATGTGTAGAGTCAACCCTCCATTATGAAAAAGGAGTAAATATCCCCAGTACAGCCATCTTGTATGAACAGAAGAAGGTTAATGTAGATATTTCATAAAATAAATAAAAAACACAGACACAAAGAAAAATATAGCAACAAACCATCATAGTTCCTGCTAGGCACTATGGTGGGCTATAAAAGAAATGTTCCTGCCCCCAGAAATACATAATCTACTTCAGTAACTAAGTCTAATGCAAAGTAAATAATCACTAAACAATAAAAGGAAACAGTGAAATATTAAACTATATACTGTAGACTTCATCCCATTAGTCCAAAATTGGAGGCAGGAGTTTTCTCTGTGAACAGTTATAATAATATATATATTATATATAATAATAAGTTCTCTGTAAACTTAGTAGTAGTAGTAGTAGTAGTAATCTCTTCAACCAATGTGGGGCTCAAACTGACATCCCAGAGATCAAGAGTCACACACCCCACCAACTGAGCCAGCCTGACACCCCTGTAAGTTTCTTTTATAGTTCCTCTCAATTATAGTTTTGTGTATTTTGAGAATATGTAAGTGCATATGAAGTTACAAATGTTTTATCTTCCTAGTGAACACAACTTTATTTATTATGAAGTGACTATCATTTTTTGCCCAAAAAGTCCATTTTGTTTAACAATAATAATTTCCCTGGTATATTTTTCCCACCATTTACTTTCAATCTTCCTTTGTCCTTAGGTTTTAGAAGTCTCATGTGAAAAATAAGCAATAAACTGGGTTTTAATCCCATCTGAAAATCTTTGACAACTTAACAGGAACACCTAGGCCACTTGCATTTATTGAACTCAAACATTTCAGTAATAAATCTATCACCATCTATCATCTTTCCACTTGTCCTACCAGTCTATCCTTGCCTATAAACTCATACCTGCCTTTGAATTCCCCTTTTTCTGACCAAGTTTCCATGTTCTGTTTGTAGTATCACTTTTCAACTTTAAATCTTGAATGGCTCTCTAGTCCAAACAAGAAAAAATTGAAACTCCTTACTATGGCACTTAAGGCCCTGCAAAGTTTAGCCCCAATCTACTTCTCCATCTTCATTGCCCCACATACTACCCTAGGCTCCAACCACTTTGAGCTTCCTTCCCCTAAGGTGGTAATGAAGCCCCTTCAACCTTCCTGCCTTTATACTCAGTTAATTCTACCTATAAAACTTCTCACCTTTAGAGCCAGGCCATTACCATCTCATCTACCAACATCTCAGTTCAACATCACTAGTTTGAAAAAGCCTTCCAAAATCCACCCCCCAGATAGACATAGTCACTATCTATTCTGGGCCCCCATTGCACTTTGTGAATACCTCCAATATAGCAGTTACTACATAATGAAAAATGTTTTCTTCATTGGAACTATGACTGCTTCCAAGGTAGAGAGTAAGTTTTATTCAACTCTGTAACCGTAGTACATGAGAGACAAGGAAGTCAGAAAGTGATTTCTAAAGACAGTGAAGATGATGTTGGCTTTGGACAGGTTTAAGTCCATAGATATCCTAATGTACAAACAAACATAATAGGAATTTCTATACTACAAACCTAGCTTTTTCAAACTGACAGGCTAAACTGTTGCTAAACTGGAAGTCATCAATCACAATCACATATACACTCTTCCAAATCCTGGATCCAGCAACAAAAGCACAACAATGGTCATTTACTACCCAGTAAAAACATAAGAAAATCCATTAAAAAATATACAGAGTTCTCATTCATCTTAAATGCCTAAAATTAACATTTTGGGGAGAAGGAAAAAGTATCTAGGTAATCCCATATTTCTAATAATTTGCATGTAACAGAGAAGTCTAAAATCACATTGGTTAGAACTTGGCCTCCTCCCCATGAGATATACTTTGCTGACGATTAAGAACTTTAACTTCATATCCAACCTCAAACTCTGTAAGAGTGACAGAGGGTATTTCATTTCCATAGTTTGTCAAAGAATTAAATTCACTCACTTCATAACACATAACACAAAGCAATAATGCATTAGTGCTTCAAAAATTATAACTTGAGAGCCTGACCAACCTTGAAGTGCTATTTGGCTGCCTATTCCTCTTCCCACCCCTGGGATGGACAACCAAATATTCTTAGCCGCCCACTTGACTTACATGTACATAAAGATCATCTAAATCAATAAGATTAAACTGTAGAAGTACTGCAGCAACTCTGTATAAAGAAGAAGGAGTCTCTCCATTCGGTTCCTTGAAAAACAAAAAAAAGGTTTCTATTTAGTGCATAAAGTAAAACTAAAATCATGAACTTTACCTACCAATAATCAAGAACAATTTTATCAAATAACTAGATCAACAATAAGCTTCTTTGCTCTTTCTTTTCACACATGACATCTGAACTGAGGACAAAGATAATTAGGTCAATATCCCTTTTGACACTGGAACATTTTCTGATGAACACAAAGTACAAAAATGTACACATTTTACAGTGCATGCTAATATTTTTACAGTGCATGCTAATATTTCAACAAAATCTGAAAATCAAATAGAATAAGTGAGATTTTATACGGCATAATACTTAGTTTTGGGTTTTGTTTGTATGTGTATTTTCTTAACTTGCTTTTTCAAGTAGTTCTCAGTGTAAATGCAAACAACAATGACAGATTTGGAAGTGCTGCACTATCTATGTCTACTTTATAGTTTTCTCCTTATTCTTTTACTTCTTAGATTTTGTACTAAATATATCTGCTTATCAACTGATTTCCCCCTTCAAAACATGTGTCTATACATATTACATATGGATAAATCAACATCTTAAAATACAGAATGGCCAATTCCAGTGGACCCTTCACAGAAACAGAAGGATCTCTGAATGCTATCAAGAAGACTTCCCCTAATTTTTAAACTGCTTGGGGTCAGCTGAATGGAAGACTAAAGTCACGACAACTAGCAATTACTAAATGGCCAAATGCAAATAAAAAGCAAACAGTGGCAATATGTTATGTTCTGCTTCTACTCAACACTGAAAACAAGATCTTTGTAAGGTTCCCCACAATTGTGATAGGTGTTAAAGATGTAACACACGAAGCTAACCAAACTAATGGATATCCTATAAAGAAGGCATTGTTCACTGTATTTGTTAAGATAAGTTTAAGTCTTCCACTTCACAATAGTTTAAATAGCTATTCAGTATCAAAACATTTTCCCATAAAAACAAATGGTGGTCAGGGTCTCAGAGCAAACTCACAAAAGCTTACTATCTGACTTGAATCCACCAGGCACACTCTTATTATTCCCATTATCTCCATTTCAATGGGTTTACCACAAGAAGCCTGTGACTCCCAGGCCAATCAACTCCCATACTCTTCATATTGCTCTGCACAATCCCTGTTCTGTCCTAACACACCTTTCTGCACTCTTGAAAAAGTTCCATGGAATCCTCTGGAATTCATAAACCATCCTCAGCAAAACCCTTTATATATCCTGAACTTCTCCTCTAACTGTTCCCTTCATTTTCTTGCTCAAACAGAGGACTCCCTAGGAACACCACTCTCACTGTAACCCAGTCAAGTGGTGGCTCTTTTCCCCCCAACTCCTCACACTACTAGGCCTGAAGGTGGAGTATGAGTCATCTTTGCTTTTTATAGTTGTTTTCAGACTATTGTCCCACCACCCACCCCTAATGCCCACCCAGCTTTTAATTTCCAGCCGCTCCCTATCCCCCACTATTGCTAGGATCTAGTTTCATTCCATTGTAGTCAAAGAAGATATTTTGTAGGATTTCAATGTTTTAAATTTTTTGAGACGTTTTGTGGTCTAAGAGTCTATCCTGGAGAAATGTACCATTGCACACTTGAGAAGAATATGTAATGTGTTGCTAGCTAGATACTGTTCTATGTATGTCTGTTAAGTCTAATTGGTTTATAGGCTGTTCAAGACCTCTATTTCCTTTTGTCTAGTTGTTCTAACATTAATGAGAGTGGGGTATGGAAATGTCCAAAAATTATTGCAGAACTATTTCCCCATGCAATCCTGTTAGTGTATGCTTCATATAGTTTGAGGCTCTGTTTGGTGCAAATGTGTTTATAACTGTCTTATCTTCATGGGTTGACCCTTTTATCAATATATAATGTCCTTTTCTGTCTTAAATTTTTGTCTTAAAGTCTATTTTGTCTGATTTTAGAAGAGCCACCCTAGCTCTCTCATGGATACTATTTGCATAGGATTTTCCACTTTGAACATATTTCTATCTTTGGATCTAAAAGTAAGTTTCTTACAGGTAACATATAGTTGAATCATGTTTTATATATTCTGCCAGACCACCTTTTGATTACAAATTTTAATCTACATTTAAAGTAATACCTGACAAAGAAGGACTTCTGACACTTTTTTGTTTTCTATAGGTCTTATATTTTTTTTGTTCTTCATTTCTTCCATTACTGCCTTCTTTTTGTGTTTGTTTGTTTGTTTTCCTGTAGTGTAGCCTTTTGGTTGTTCCCTTCTTTCCTTTTCTGTTTTTAGTTATTTTCCTAGTGGTTACCCTGGGTATTGCAAGTGATTTTTTTTTTTTTTTTTTTTAAGATTTTTCTCTTTCTTTCTTTCTTTGTCAGAGAGAGCAAGTGCACAAGCAGGCAGAGTGGCAGGGAGAGGCGGAGAGAGAAGCAGGCTCCCCGCAGAGCAAGGAGCCCGATGCGGGACTCGATCCCAGGACCCCTGGGATCATGACCCAAGCCAAAGGCAGCAACTCAACCAACTGAGCCATCCAGGCATCCCGCAAGTGGTATTTTAAACATAATAATCTAGTTTGAACTAATACCAATTTAGCTTCAATAGTATACAAAAACTCTGGACCTATACACCTGAATCCCTCCCCCTTTTATATTGTTACATTGTTTACCAATTAGATTTATAATTAGTTTTATTAGTCTTTTAAGTCATGTAAGAGAAAAGGAGGAGGTACAAACCAAAAAAAATACAGTATTATTGGCTTTTAGATTTACCCATATAGTTACCTTTACCAGTGTTCTTTATTTCTTCATATGGCTTCAAGTTATTATCTAGTGTCCTTTTATTTCAGCCTGAAAGACTTTCTTTAGCATTTCTTGTTAGGCAAGTCTACCAGAAATGAATTCCCCCAACTTTTGTTTATCTTGAAATGCCATGAACTCCCATTTTTGAAGGATAGTTTTACTGGATACAGATTCTTTACTGGCAGTTTTATTCCTTCAGCAGTTTATATGTGCCATCCCACTGCCTTCTGAAGAGAAATCACCTGTTAATCTTATTGAGGATCTTTTATATGCAATGGGTCACGTCTGTTTTGCTGCTTTCAAAATTTTCCTTGTCTTTGGTTTTCAACAATATGAGTATAATATTCTTGGTGTGACTCTCTTTGAGCTTATCCACTGTTTATGGAGCTTCTTAGATGTATAGATTCATATCTTTCATCAAATTTGGGAAGTTTTCAACCTTCTTTTTTTCGAACATACTTCTGTCCCTTTCTCCTCTGCTTCTAGGAGTCCAATGTACATATTGGTATTGGATAGTGTCCTATAGTCTCTCAGACTTTGTCATTTTTCTTCATTCGTTTCTCTTTCTGCTCCTCATACTGGACAATCTCAATTGGCTCATCATATTGGCTGATCGTTTCTTCAGCCTTCTCAAATCTGTTGGTGTAACCCTCTAGCGAATTTTTCATTTCAGTTATCATACTTTTTGACTCCAGAATGTCTGGTTCCTTTTTTTTTAATAACTTCTATTCTTTTTTTTATATTCTGTCTAGTCTCCTTTAGCTCTTTGCCCATGGTTTCTTATACAGATCATAAACATATTTAGAACTGGTGATTTAAATTATCTACTAAGTCCATCACCTGGACTTGCTCAGGGATAGTTTCTATTTTTTTTCTTGTGAATGAGTCATACTTTGTTTCATTGCATACCTCACTATCACTTGTTGAAAACTGGGTATTTTGAATATCATGTGGCACTCTGAAAATCAAATTCTGCCCCATTTGGGGGTTTGTTGATGCTTATTGTGGGTTATTATTGTTTGCTTGTTTAGTGATATTTTATAAAGTCTGTATTATTGTCATGTTAGCCACTGAAATCTGTGTTCTGTCACTGTAGTGGCTAGCTAATGTTTTGAGTTTTCTTAAAGGCCTGAAGCCAAAAAAAAAGAAGAAAAAGGAAAAAAAAACACTCTCCCAGTGTTTGCATACTAGGCATGCCTCAACACTTGGCCAGGTCATTCACAATTCCATCTTAGTCTTCACTTCCTGCTTGTGCAGAGCCTGAAGGCCAGCCAGAGGAAAAAGCCTAAGATCTTCTCAGTCCTTTCCTGAGTTAAGTATCCAGTTCTGGGCATAAGCAGGCCTTTTGTTCCAATTCCCTGGTACATGTTATTCCCCTGTATTAACTCCTTATCCATCTTCTCTCTTCCCAGGCTTTCAGTCTTTCTATTGCTCATCTAACCATTATCTCTTGCTCTAGGCTGCTAAAGCCAATAGTTGTGCCTTTAAATCCTTTTGGCAAAAGCCACCCCAGATCTGGAGATGCTCCTAGTAAGGCAAATCAAAAACAGGCCCTTGCACAAGTCCCTAAGGGAACAGCCAGAGAGGTTGCAACCCACAATTCTTTATGTCCTCTGGCATTAGCAATCTACACTAGGAGCGCAGGCTTCTATCTTCATAGCCATCATCGATCTGGGCATAAGGGATAGTAAGCAGGCAATTTATAACATCACAGTGCTCTCTTCCCCAAAGCAGCAGCTTCTTTCTTCACCCAGCCTTTCCTTGATTGTTGTACGTTTTTTACTAAATTCCAGAGTTCTGTAAAAGTTGATTGACAGTTTTTTGCCAGTTCATTAGTTGCTTTTATGGAAGGACAGTGCTCTGGGGGTTCCCTACTCTGCCATTCTCAGTCATGTCCTACTATTGCCATTTATAGACTCCTGGGTCACTGCCCATCATGTAGAAATGATCTTATAGCTTCTGATTCACTGTCACTGTGTCCAACTCTATTCCTTTCTTAATTTTTGGAGATTTTCATATACACCTAAGTGATATTTCCATCATGCTGGCTTCTTGGCTCCTAGAACTCATCTCTTCCAAAGATCTTCTCCTCTACCCCATCTCAGCCATTCACTCCATTTCCTAAACTTTAATATTACCAATACCTACAACCCCTCCAAAATGTTTATTTCATGTATCTACCTTCACAGAGATCCTTAATCCTGCTGGACAGTCATACTC